GGAACCGAAATTGCTCGTGACTTATGTCCAGCATATAAACTCATGCCTCATGGCCGCCCGTCGCTATGTGCACTCAGCATTAGCGACGGCTTTGGCCAATTCATCGGCAATCCTCGACTTTTCGTCGACCAACTTCACTTAATTTCATAGAATACTTTAAATAGAAGCTGAAAAGAACAGAACAGTTCATGACTTGCCGGAAGAAAATAAAACTTGTTCGGCGATCACTTATCTTATGCATCCACGGACTTAGGTGCGGGTTAAAGTGAAATTCTCAAATAAAATCTGGACAATTCACTCTGAACTGAACTTATTACTAAGATTAGGAGCTGAACAGAGTAATACCTTTCTGAACGCTCGACGGGAACTCGAAATTAAACGACCTCTCTTCACATGAACGCCGTGCGATGCTTCTTCAAGCTTATGCCGTGCGATTGGAACGAAATTTAGGGAAAATTTGCTGAATAAACTTGCTAATAGCTTGAGGGAAGAGGTGCTGTTCGGTCTATAAGGGAAAGTGAGCAAAAATTTTCCAAAGGCATGCTTATATAGGGGCGTACGGCTTTGAGGGATGGTGACGATAATCTAACGTGGCCTCTCCCCCTCCTCACACTTGCTCATCTCTTATGCTACTAATGATGACTAATTACTTTCTAATGAAGCCACGTATCCATCTAAAGTTTGGGAGAAATTATGATTTCCTCACATGAAGGGAAACTTACGGACTTAACATAAACTTAGGGCAAAATTTGAATAAGCTCACGACATTTGTATAAAATTAGGGCTTATATGCATTTAATCTCAATTAATCACTCATTTGATGTTTAATTGTTAAATTAAACATAATACATAATTACCAAAATTATTTCGGACGTAAACGGTACGCCGAAAATAGGTTTTGGTAATCCGACTGAAATTAATTAATTCCGAAAATAATAAACGCTAACGTTACTATATCGAAATTTAAACGTAATTTATACTAATAATATCTCGGGATATTACAAAATTATTCGCACGGTGGGACACCGCATAGTTTATTTCTTTCATAAAAACTCATGTACGGCTCCTGCGTGGGTCATAGGATGAATTATGTAATTGTTGTTTATATTATTCATTGTTGATCTAGCGGGTGTGGACCAACCTTGACGGGGTGAGGCATAAACACGTACACGGATGCCATGGTGATGATCCAATGGCGACTTTCCCGGAGACGACCAATTCAGTGGGAGTCACTGCGAAAGAGGGAGTTCCAATACCCGAAACGGAGGACACACTCAACAAGGACAGGATTGTGTTTTATCCGTAACATTGGAGATTGATTAATGGCCATGATAGTTGGATTATAGTTCCTAGTTTATTAATGCTCATTAATCATGCATGTTTTACGTGATTGCTTATGTGCAAATACAAACATGTTAAGAAAATCCCATAAACTAAAAATTTTATTAAATGTGTAATGGGTTGAAATAAATTACATCCAAGGCCTCCATTATAGGTTTGTCAGTGAAGTGATTTAATTCGAGCCCAAAGAACGTTTTATTTCACGGTTCACAAGGACGAATCTCCTTCGGGATGGTTATAGTGAGCTATTTCAAAAGCGTACGGGTCACCCAAAGGTGGACGTATAATTCTGGTAGTAAACATAGTACCAATTAATGGGTTACGCTTAAAGTGCAAATAATTACGA